ACTTGCAAGTGATATTAATGATATTGTTTGATAATTTCTGCATTCTGTTGGATCACCTTTCTTTGGAATGGGCACAAATATGGATCTCTTCCAGTTGGTTGGCCAGGTAGCTGTCTTCAAAATTTCTTGACATAGACGAGTGAGTGCTTCTAGGGTTGCATCCATGTGTTGAAACATCTCAATTGGTATTCCATCAATTCCTTAAGCATTGTTTTTTGCCAATTCCTTCAGTGCATCTTTGGACATCTTCCTTCAATACCATTGGTTCTGGATCATATGCTACCAACTGAAGTGGTTGAACATTGACCAGTTATTTTTGGTACATGTTTTTATTGAGCACCTATTCCATGTTTGGTAAAGTGGAGGGCCAGGAAACCCTCAGTGAAATGGATTGACACAATATCCACAACGGAGTCAAACCTACCAACAATCATGAAGATGGCACAGGACCAGGCATTGTTTCGTCCTATTATACATAAGGTCATCATGAGTTGGAGTCAATTCTGTGGCAACTAACAACATCCCATACCTTGATCTGCACAGTCTATGGGAGACAACAGTAAGTGAAACGGACATAGTCCCTGCCCCCAAGGAGATCACAGTGCCGTGGGAGGAGAAACATATGAAAAAACAAGTAAACAGAAATATTTTTAATAACAGCTAAATAGCAGTGTGCCTTAAGAATGTAACAGAGCCCCGGTGGCGCAGTGGTTAAGCATTTGGCTGCTAACCAAAAGATTGGCAGTTCAAATCCACCAGCTGCTCCTTGGAAACCCTATGGGGTGGTTCTACTCTGTCTTATAGGGTCGCTATGAGTCAGAATTGACTCAACGGCAACAGGTTTTAAGAATGTATGTTGCTGATAGGTGCCATTGAGTCAATTCCTACTCATAGCAACCCCAAGTGACAGAACCGTCCCATAGGGTTTTCTTGATTATAATCTTTATGGAAGTAGATTGCCAAATCTTTCTCCCAAAGAGCTGGTAGCAGAAGTTAAACTAATTTACAGAGTGGAGTCAGGGTGGACAGGGAAGGCTTCTTAAAGAAACAATGTTTCATACATGAAGGATGTTGTTGTTGTTTTTAGGTGTTGTTGAGTTGATTCTGACTCATAGCGACCCTATGTATAACAGAAGGAAACACTGCCCGGTCCTGTGCCACCCTCACAATGATTGCTATGTTTGAGCCCATTTTGCAGCCACTGTGTCAGTCCATCTCATTGAGGGTCTTCCTCTTTTTTGCTGACCCTCTACTTTACCAAGATGATGAAAGATAAATAGGAGTTATCCAGATAAAAAATGTTGGGCTGGGGACATGGGGTGAGAGTGGGGTGTTCTGAGCAGAAGAAACGGCATGTACAAATGTCCTGAGGTAAGAAGGAGATTAATGCATTTTCAGAACTGAAATAACAATCAGGTTTGCTGTAGAGCGGTGAGTGAGACAGAGAGGAATAAGAGATGGGGCTGGGTATGATACTGGCCCAGAATCAAACATGTAGATTGATGGGCCAATGGAGAACTCTCCAGAACTAATTATAAGAACGTTTACCTGATCCTTATCAGAGAAGAAAAAATATTTCGAAAACATACAGAAATGAGAAAATGACAAAGTTAAGAGAAAAAATCTGTAACTGGCTGGGGAGTATTAGGGAGTATTACTGAGAGAAAAATGTATCAAGTCTCCTTATTACAAGTAGCTTATGTCAAATTCATGAAATCAGAGGAATGTCTTGGATTCCAGAGCTGTCTGTAACACAAATTGGCACGGTTAATTTAAGATGTTGTTGGGTGCCATCGAGGCGATTCCGACTCCTAGTGACCCCATGTGACAGAGTAGAACTGCCCCCATAGGGTTTTCTTGGCTGTAACCTTTATAGGAACAGATAGCCAGATCTTTCCCCTGCAGAGCTTCTGGGTGGGTTCGAACCCCCAACCTTTCCATTAGCAGCCAAGCTACTTAACCATTGCGCCACCAGGGCTCCTTGACACAGTCATAGCTAATGTCTAAACCAGTAGCTGATCCTGCATCAACACGACAATCTATAGAAGGACACCACATAGAAATAAAAGAGCTTCTTCTGTTGAAAATGACAGGAAAACTTGGAAACAGGTTAATGGTCATAGTTGCACGACAGGATGAACACAATTAATGTCACTACACTGTACATAGAAGAATGTTGAAATGGTAAATGTTTTGTTACATACTCACCACAATTAAAAAAATGAAAAAATAGAGAAATCAGAGAGTCATTCGTCTAAAGGTGGGTTTTATGAATGGGCTTGCATTGCTAGACATCGTGGAAGCTTGCTGCCTTGGTGGGCCCCCATCGCAAATAAGAGGTAAACCTAATGAAGGACAGGGAGTTTCCAATAGGTAGATGGGGCCTCAGTGGAGAGTTTACCACAAACCTGGATATTCTCCAGAGTGTACATGATTGGATCTGAGAAGCCGTCTTTCTTCTCCCCAGTCATGATGCCCCCAATGACTCGAGAATTCATCTTCAGCTTCCTCTTGGAGTTGGCCAAGGAGTCCTGGGGATCTTTGAAGTAGCTCTCCTCTAAAACAGACTCCATGCCAGCAAAGGAGACAAAAGCCACCCCAGTGGTGCCTGCAAGTTCCCCAAAGGAAAATACTTGGGAATCGTTTGCAGAGTGATTATTACAGATGTCCCAACACACACACTTTAATACCCTACACATCTCACTGTTTTGTTCTGAGGGTTGAAATACCACTGATCTTCCAATGCAGTGACCCTCACCAGAACCATAAAAATTCCTGAGGTGCTATTACCTGGACAAATCTTGGCTCAGTTTAAAAATAAATTTGAGTTAGTTTTCATACATAGTGTGAGATACGGGTTCAGGTTCATTGTTTTGTTGTGGGGACACTAAGCATCTGTTAAACCCATTGCCGTCGAGTCGATTCAGACTTATGGCAACCCCATGTGGCAGAGTAGAACTGCCCGCATAGCATTTCCTAGGCTGTAATCTTTATGGGAGCAGACTGCCATATCTGTGTCCCGTGGGGCGGCTGGTGGGTTCAAATCACCAACCTTTTGGTTAGCAGCCAAGCGCTTAGCCACCATGCCACCAGGGTTCCTTCTGTTAAGGGTGATGGAAATACTTGGAAATGGATAATGGTGATGGTTGAACGACATGATGAATATAATGAACGTGTTACAGAGTAGAACTACTCCATAGAGTTTTCTTGGCTGTAATCTTTATGGAACCAGTTTTTCCCAGACCTTTCTTCCACAGAGCCACTGGGTGGGTTCGAATCGCCGACTTTAAGGTTAGCAGCGGATCGTAAACCACTTGTGCCACCCAGGCTCTAACGTTTTGCTACAAATATGTAAATGTTTTGTTACATACATGTAAGTGTTTTGTTACATATATGTATTTTGTTACGTATGTGTTTTGTTACATACATACAAGTTGTTCTGTTACATACATATGAATGTTTCATTACGTATATATTTACCACAAAAAATAAACAAATAAATAAATTTGAAATTTGTGTTTTTAAGGGAAAATTTAACTCAGCCTCGGGAAATAAGCTCTCCTCTCATGTTTGTGGGCATTCTTGTTTAGTCTCTACGGGGGGCTTCTCTTCACTGCTTGCCCTTTCAATGCTGGTGCTCCTGGGGATGTGCGCTAGATTGCTCTCTGTCCCATCCATCCCTAAGGCTTCCTTCACCATCAACAAGCTGACTCCTTGGCGCCTAAGAGGTGAGGAATAAGTAGCTGCTGATTGGAGGCACTCCAACCACTCTCCTGGATTCTTGGCCAGATCTGTACCTGTAGATTCAGACTCTGCAATGGTGGAACATCCGATCTTCATCTCATCCCCTTTGGCTTTCAAGTGAAAGATGACATTCTCTTTGATGCATTCTTCTTTGACAAATTTGCTCTCAATGTCTGAAAGAGAAAGGGAGGGTTTGCATGAGGTGACACAAAAAGTGAGTCCTGTATTTGGTTTCTGTCCACTGAACTTATGCATCCACAGTTGGAAGCAAAGGAAAGAATGGAAAAGCCAGCTCATCATGGGGCAGGTCTTGAATCCTCTGAATGACAGTGGGGAGGTAGCACCAAGCAAATGAGAAAGCCAGTTGGAGCTTTAGGAGCTAGCTCTCACATCTTAGGGGTGAAGCTGCATCGGGGACAGGTGGAGTTGAAGTCAACAGTGACAGAATGCAACGGAGTCATGATCTTCCAGCTACTCCAAATTTAGACAAATTTTCCAAATCCAAAGGAAGCAGTGCAGGGTAGTGCCAACAGTTAACCAGTGCTTGACTGCTAATCAAAAGGTTGGAAGTCTGAGTCCACCCATAGGCACCTTGGAAGAAAGGTCTGGCAATCTAATTCTGAAAAATAAGCCATTGAAAATGCTACGGAGCAGCTCTACTCTGACACACATGGTGTCGCCATGAATCAGAATCAACTCAATGGCAACTGGTTAGGGAGTCCCTGGGTGGTGCAAATAGTTAATGTGCTCAGCTGCTAACTGAAAGGTTGGCAGTTCAAGTCCACCCAGAGGCACCTTGGAAGAAAGGCCTGGCGATCTAATTCTGAAAAATCAGCCATGGAAAACCTTATGGAGCACAGTTTTACTCTGACACACTTGGGGTTGTCATGAGCGGGAGTTGACTCGACAGCAACTTTTTTTTAATGTTTTGTATTCATCCTGGTATCAAACTGGGGCTCTGCTCTGTGTTGTCCTCACTTTGGAGCGCAGGCAGATGTAACAGCCATAATCTAGAACATCGCCAGTTACTATGGCGTAGGGAAAGAAAGTTCTGGAAGGTCTCATGCTGGCAACCATTTTATTCGCAATTCATTGGCCTGAACTAGTCACAAAAATCCTGCCTAATCCCCAAGGAGCCAGGAAGTACAATGCTACCACGGCCCCAGAAGAAAAAGCTGGAAGTATTTGAGCAGAGAAAATGACTATATACCCTAACACACGGCATATAGTAAGCAGTCAACAAATGATTGTTGAATGATTTAATGGCAAACTCTTAGCACTCAATGCAACCACTCTTGCCAAGCACTCAACGATGTTGTTTATATGATTAGGCTTGCTTTGCTGTGAGTTCAATGTTTTGAAACAGAAAAATAGGAGGGTGAGAAATTCATGGGGAATCACATCGCCAAGGTCACTCCTCAAAATCGACACCCAGCTGTGACCTTATATGTCCTACCTAAGGGTTCAGTCCGAACAGTCTGACTGCTGTTCCGTGAGGGTTTCAGGAAAGCCGCCAACGCCATGCTCTCCACACTCTCCAGCACAACCGTGGCCAGCGCGGCTTTCTCTTCCTTGGTGAAGTTGGACCACGTGGATGTTTGTTCAAGCACAATAGCGAAGCTCTCGACCACTCTCTGCGAAAAACGAAGTTTCTCTCTCTCTCTCCCCCACCCTACATTATATATGTATATATATAACCAAAAAAACCCAAATTTACTGCAGTCAGGTCAACTCATAGCAACCCCACAGGGTTTCTTAGGCTGTAAATCTCTACGGAAGCAGACTGCCACATCTTTCTCCCGCAGATACGATGGTGGTTTTGAACTGCCAACCTTCCAGTCAGCAGTCAATTGCTTTAACCACTGCACCACCAGGGCTCCTTTATTTATATATTTTTTTTTGTTTATTTATTTATATTTATATATATGTAGTTATTGCTAGGTGCCTTTGAGCTGATTTCAACTCATAGTGACCCTATGTGACCGAGTACAATGGCACCGTAAGGTTTCCTTGGCTGTAAACTTTATGGAAGAAGATCGCCAGGTCTTTCTTGTGAGGCACGGGTGGGTGGGTTCAAACAGCCAACCTTTCTGTTAGCAGCCAAGTGCCTAACTGATGCACCACCAGGGCTTCTTATATTTTATACACACACACACACACACAGAAATCATTGGGTGGCACAAATGGGTAACACACTCAGTTGGAGGTTTGAGTCCACCCAGAGGCACCTTGGAAGAAAGGACAGGCAATCTACTTCTGAAAAATCAGCCATTGAAAACTCTATGGGCCACGTTCTACTCTGCCACACATGGGGTGGCCACAAGTCGGAATCCACTTGACAGCTATTGGTTTAGTGTGTGTGTGCGTGTGTGTGTGTGTGTGTGTGTGTGCCTCTCTCTCTCTCATCAGTGAAATAACAGCTGTTCTCTCTCATCAGGAGCCCTAGTGGTGCAACCGTTAAATGCTCAGCTGCTAACCAAAAGGTTAGCAGTTTAAACCCACCCAGTGGCCCCACAGGAGAAAGACCTGGCCATCTGCTCCTGTAAAGATTACAGCCTAGAAAATCCTATCAGGCAGTTCTCTGTCATATGGGCTCGCTATGAGTCAGAAATCAACTCCACGGCACCCAACAACAACTCTCTCTCATCAGGAGAGTGGATCAGAAGTCCAGGTCAATGGAGAATTAATAATGGCATCTACTCAAGCTCTCTCCCTGATCCAAGAGGCCCTACAGGGAATGCAGATTGGTGTCGCCTTTATGGAGTGCGATAACTGTGTAAATTGCACATACCCTTTGACCTAGCTATTTCCCTTCCAGGAATGAATCCTTCCAGAAGTATTTTTTAAAGGGTGCAAGGATATTGCCCAGTGATGTTCATTTCAGTATGGGTTGTAAAAGCAAAAAGTGAGAAAGCCTAATGTCCAACAGATGAATTAAATAAATTGATGAGACTAAAGCCTGTTATAGCATTCAGGTGCTGAAAAAGAATGAGGTCATAAATCTATATGTATTAACAAAGAAGTCCATGAGCTATGTTTCAGTAAAGCAAATTATGGAATAACTCAAAACACAGTTACAAAGAAGACTTTATAGTTACCTCCAGAGAAATGGCGGTGGTTTTGTTTTTGCAAGCATCATCCAGAACGCTGAAGGTGGTGTTCATGAGTGCACAGAAGGACGCCTGTGTCCCAGAGAGAAGAATGTTGATCGATCTCTCCCACAGACATGGCATCTCCACATCGGGCCATCCAGCCCACCACGGGGCGGGGAGGGGAAACTGAGGCAACCAAACCTCAGCCGAGGTCCCGAACTACTGAGATGTCATGTGTCTCTAGAATTCTCGGGGATATAAAACTCACCATTTGATCAGAACTGGAATAACATCATCCTTCTCCTCCATGAATTAAATAAACAGCAAAACTATTAAGTGGGATCAATACATGGAGAGACGTGTTAAAAAAAAAAAAAAGGAAGAAAGAAAACACAGTGGCCCAAGGTGTATGGGAATTCCAAAACTGATTTACAAGTTCAGATGATGCTCTGCCCTCATGGACACACAACTCCAACTTTGTGGCCCAGTATGGCTGCTCCAGCTCCTGCCATCACACCTACATTCCAGCTGGCGAGAAAGTAAGAAGGGGAAGTGGGTTTTATCACATATTGCCAGGGATTAGGGGAAAGTGGGAATGGGGAGTAACTATTTGATGGTTACAGGGTTTCCATTTTGGGTGACGAACAACTTAAAGGCTTAGGGAATTTTAAAAAAAGAAAAACCCTATGCCATCAAGTTTATTTGGACTCTTGGTGACCCCACGTGTTACAGAGTAGAACCGTTCCATGGAGTTTCCTTGGCTATAGTCTTTATGGAAGCAGATTGCCTGTCCATTCTTCCGTGGTGCTGCTCAGTGGGTTTGAACCACCAACCTTTAGGTGAGTAGTCAAGCACAAACAATTTGTGCCACCCAGGGACTCGGTTTTAAAATATAACACTGTAATGACCTAGCAACCCCACTCCTAGGTATTTACCCTACAGAAGGGAAGACTTAGGTTCACACAGAAAATCTGTCCATGAATCTTTATGACAGCTCTACTCATAATCTCCAAACTCTGTAAACAACCCAAGTGTTCTTCCAGGGGTGAATGGATAAACAAACTAGTATGTCCATAAAATGAGGACATTGGGACCTTCTACCACCAAGAATGAAGAAGCAGGAGGGAAGCACGTCCTTTGAACCCCAGGTCCCTGAGCTGAGAATCTCCTAGACCAGGGGAAGATTGATGACAAGGACCTTCCCCCAGAGCCAACAGAGAGAGAACGCCTTCCCTGGAGTTGGCGCCCTGAATTTGGACTTCTAGCCTCCTAGACCGTGAGAGAATAAGTTTCTGTTTGTTAAAGCCATCCACTTGTGGTATTTCTGTTATAGCAGCACTAGATGTCTAAGACATGGCCATAGAATCTCTATTATTGAAATGACTTCATTGGAGAGCCAGAAAGTCCAAACACCTCTCTTCCCAACCTGGCTGTGTATCATCCATCGCCTATCACTCCAATGCACCAACAACACCTTCCCTAGTGGTGAGACTTCAATGTAGTCTCCCCTTCTTCTTTTAGTACAATAATCTCCAAGTTTTACACAGGCAAATGTCCTCCCTTCCCAGCTTTCCTTGCAGCTAGGTGTAACCATGTGACTAATATTTGTCCAATGTGATGTGAGTAGAAGAGATCCTGGGTCATACTCTTAAAGGATAGGACTGTACTTTTCACTTTCCCAGCTGGAATGTAGATGTGAGGGCAGGCACTGAAGCAGCCATCTTGGACCACAAAAAGGGAGTCTTGTGTTGATGATGACAGAGCACTATGGAGCCATCATATCAACTCTTGGCAGCTTATGCTCAGACTGTTACAGAAGAAAGAAATAAACTGCTATTTGGTTTAAGTCAGTTATTTTGGCCTTTATTAGAGGTGCAAAATCAACATCCTAACTAAGTGGCTTCTAGGAAAACCTCAAGAGCTAGGGGCATTTAAAAATACTTACAAATTCAGGCTCCATTGCTGCTGTGCCTTGGCATCGCTGGACCTGTTCATTGTCAGGAATAACATCTTCTTGACACTTGAAGGGAACCCCTAGGAAGAAGAAGAAAACAAAGGTAACCAAACTTCAACCACAGCAAAGTGCGATTAAAAGGCAAGTCTGATTACCTCACCCCTGCTCAAAACCCACCCTGTAATGGGCGGTGGTGAAAATGAACAAACAGCCACACACCACAGCATTAGGGATTCTGAGGAGCTTGATACCAATTGTGAAAAGCACGCAAGCTTAACAAGATATTGTGTTGTTGTTGTTGTTACTGGGTGCTGTCAAGTAAATTCCCACTCATAGCGACCCCATGTGACAAAGTAGAACTTCCCCATAGGGTTTCCTAGGCTGTAATCTTTATGGAAGCAGATCACTAGGTCTTTTCTCCCTTTGAGCCACTGGGTGGTTTTGAACCATCAACCTTTCGGTTAGCAGCCAAGAGCTTAACAGTTGTGCCACCAGGGCTCCTCAGGTACTGTGTAAGGGCTACATAAAGCAAGAAAACCAAACCCATTATCCTCTAGTAGATTCTAGCTCATGGCGACCCCATGTGTTACAGAGTAGAACTGCGTTCCATAGGGTTTTCTTGGCTGTAATCTTACGGAAGCAGACTGCCAGGTCCTACTTCCAGGTGCTGCTGAATGGATTCAAACTGCCAACCTTTTGGTTAGTAGCTGAGAGCAAATCATTTGTGCCACCCAGGGACCTAGTAGGGATACACACACAGGGGAAAACTTTTTTTTTAAATAGAATAAATTAGCAGTTGCCAGGAGTGAGAGGATAGGGGAAAGAGGGAGTCATTGCTTTGGGGACACTGAGCTTCAGTTAAGGGTGATGGAAAAACTGGAAGCAGATCGTGGTGATGGTTGCACAACACGATGAATGTAATCAGTGTCACTGAATTGTACATATAAAGAATGTGAAATGGCAAATGTTTTGTTATATACTTAAAACAATTAAAAAATGTTGAAATAGTGAATGTTTCGTTACCTATATACAGTTAAAACAAAAATAGATGGACGGATGGATGGATGGCCGGATGGGTGGATGGGCAGATGGGCAGAGGGGTGAGCGAGCAGACAGCTGGGTGGTCAGGTGGACAGATGGGTGGGTGAGTGGGTGGATAGCTGGATGGGTGGATGGGTGGATGGATGGATGGATGGATGGAACATAGATGAATTAATTATTTTTTAAAAAACACCAAAACTTCTTTATCCTGCAAAAAAACAAAAAGGTAGGGGAATAGGAAACACAAAAGTCCAACTGCTTCCTTCTGGGGAGTAGACCGGAAGATGGAATGGGGAGGGAGATGCAACAGCATTGATGATATGTTAATTCTCATGTTTGGGTTGGCCTCAGGGATATTCATTTTATTATTATACCCTATGGCCTCCATATAAGTTGCATATAATCTTTTTAATGTGTTCAATTATCTATAATTTTAAAAATGGAAACTTTTCATGATTCCCCATTGCTCTTGGAAAAAATTCTGAAATTCTTCTAGAGGCATGCAAGACCCTGCAGAATCCGACCTCTGCCCACCTCATCAGATGCAGCTAATGCCACTCCCCACTACCCTCACTCTGCTTTAGCCTCAGGAACTTTATTTGTTCCTCATCCATGCCAAACTCTACAGTTCCCCCTGCCTCAGGGCCTTTGCACATGCCCTAACCTGGAACACTTTGATCTCCATTCTCCCTCTGGCAAATTCCTACTTCTCTGAGTTACAGCTTAAAAGTCATTTGCTCAGAGCATGTAAAATATTCCATTGTTGTTGTTGTGTGCTATAGAGCCAATTTCAACTCATGGCCACCCCATGTGACAGAGTAGAACTGCCCCATAGGGTTTTCTAGGCTGTAATCTTTACAGGAGCACATTCCGTGGAGCTTGTAGATAGGTTCAAACCACCAATCTTTCAGTTAACAGCTGAGCACTGAACAATTATGCCACCAGGGCTTCTTAAACATCCCGTTAACCACTGTGATGTTTCAATTGTGGCAATATTGTGGTTATTATTTAATTATGTGTGTGCTCCTTCCCTAGACTATAAGCTACATGAAGGCAAGTATCATGTCCTTCTTATCCATGATTGAAGCCTCAGTGCCTAGTGCAGGGCCTAGCAAAACAAGTAAATAAATAAATAAGCCAAAAAAAAAGAACAAATCCATTGCCATTGTGTTGATTCTGACTCGTGGTTACACTACGTGTTACAGAGTAGAACTGAGCTCCATAAGGTTTTCTTGGCTGTAATCTTTATGAAACCAGATTGTCGGGCCTTCCTTCTACAGTGTCGCTGGGTGGTTTGAACCACCAATCTTTTGATTAGTAGCTGAGTGCAAACCATTTGAGCCACCCACAGACCCCAATAAATAAATAGGGATTCCAAAAAAAATTTATTGGATGAGCAAATTAGTGAATGAGTAAATGAATGACTAAAACAAGAGAATCTCTGGATGCGGTGAAAGTTAGAGGAAGAGCCAGAGGTTAGGTAGAGTGAGGATTTTACAAACAAAGCAAGACACGGACTCCATTGTAAAGACACAGAGGAGATGATTACTTTTGCATCTGAAGTTGCCATTTTTCCAGGAGCCTTCTGGGTTGGGACGAAAGCCCACCATGCAGCTACAGTTGTAGGATCCCAGGGCATTGGTGCAGACAGAATTGGGGCCACATGGTGATGGATCTTGGAAGCACTCATCAATGTCTGCAAGAAACTCAAGAATATCAAGACACTAAGAGGAACAAGGTGATATTTCCTTCCAGGGCTGGCCAGCAAGCCATCTTCTCACCTATACATTCCACCCCTTGGTCTGTGAAGCTCAGCTCTCCATTGCTTGGTGCAAAACCAGGATGACAGGTGCAAAAGAAGCTCCCAGGAGTGTTGGTACATGTTGTGTTGAAGCTACACATGTCAATGCACTCATCAACATCTGTAATGCAGAGAATAGATGCGAGGCAAGGTTGGTCAACAGTCCAACAAAAGTCATGCTCCAAATATATAGAAACCAGAGATTATTAATGATGACTAGGGATAAGAAGGAGGGAGAAAGTGGGGATTTTTACTTGGAAGGCATTGAGTTTGTTAATGGTGGTAGAATATTTTGAAAGAGGATATCGATAATAGGAGCACAATATGAAAAATGTAATCAATGCCACTGAAATGCAAATGTGGAAGTTGTTGTATTGGTGAATGTTTTGGTGTGTATATTTTCACCACAATAAAAATAAAGTAGCTTGAAATTAAAAAAATAATTTCAAGTCATGCTTCTTCCTAATATAGAGTTGTCACTAGAAAATGGTGACTCAATCAAGGACTTTATCTCCCAGCCCTCTGCATCTAGATGGGGCATGTGATTAATTTTTACTCGTGGAATGTGAAGGTGTGACAGATGTCACTTATGGGCCAAGGTGGTTAAGAAGTGGGTATGCCTTCCCTCTTCTCTCTTTCCCTTCCACTGGCTGGAAGCAGGAACCCCAAGGCCCTGAAGGATAGAGACCCAAACAATGGAAGGGGATTGGATCCTTAAATCTCCATGTGATAGAAAGCTGCCCACTGACCAGCAGCACCCACATTGAATTGTTATGAGAGTGAGAAATTTCTATTGTGTTAAGCCAGCGATTCTCAACTGGGGATGCCTTTGTCCTCTAAGGGGGCATTTGGCAACGTCTGGGGACATTTTTGGTTGTCACAATTTGGGGGTGCTACTGGTATCCAGTGCGTAGAGGCCATAGATGCTGCTGAACATCCTACAATGCACAGGACAGCCCCCAACAAAAGAAAGAATTATCCAACTCAAAATGTTAACAGTGCTGAGGTTAAGAAACCCTGGTCTGATTAATACAGGCTGGTGGCAGGTCACTATATCAACACAGGGTTTTCTCTCTCTCTCTCTGGGGCTTCTGAATCACTGAGGATATATGGAATAGAATGTTGTCCTGGAAAAACGTAATTCAGAAGGAAGTAAGTACAAAACCTTTCATGCTTCTATACCAACTCATAAAACATGAGGAATAAACAGGCAGTCTATTAGTGAACCAAGCAGGTATATGATGTATTGCACTGGGCATTACCATGGAGAGTTAGAATGCAAAGTTCTTGTGATAGGAATGTAGATTAATTTGGAGGCTCCAAAGGGCACAAAAATAGCCCATGGTTGGAAGTTACAGGGAAGTGAGTTTTCACTTGGAATCACGGAAGACACCTCTAATCAAGAAATGAGCTTCTTTTGAACGAGGAGTGAGCTCCCTGCCTCCAGAAATATTGAAGCACAAACTAGGCAAGGTCTTGTCAGAGCTAGCATAGACAGACTTTATGATTTGCATATGGAGTTGGGTTAGATGCATGGCTTTCCAAACTGGCAAGGAAGCCTTTCTTCATGTGAAGTAAAACTTGAATAGGTAAAACAGAAGAGGTGATAATTTGGCTGAAAGAGGGAGGGAAGCCCATGATCTTGCCTGCCTGGTAAATCCCTTGTCCCTTGATGGGAACCCTGAATGGGTTCCTAGAAGCCTCTGGAGTTGTATTAGTCTATCTCTAAGCTCGCTTTCAACTTTACCATTCTGCTTCTAACAGTGTTAGCAGCTTGTGAGCCTCAACAAATAAGAATATAACATTTTTAATGAAAAGAAGCATGCATTTCCTGTGGGGGTTGAAGAAGAGAACATGTGTCCTGCAGTGTGGTAGATAGTCTCCAAAGACAGTGTTAGGGGCTGTTGTAAATATGTGTGGTAAATCCTAGCCTCTATACGTGTGGATGTAATCTCGCTTCTTTGTTATGTTAATGAGGTCATATCAGTGCCGGGTGTGTCCTAAACCTAATCACTTTTAAGATATAAAAAGAGCAGATTAGACACAAAGGCAAGCAAGGAAGTTGCCACACGAAGATGGTCAAGGCATCAAGGGACAGAAGCTGGAAGAGACATGGATCTTCCCCCAGAGCCGACAGAGAGAGAGAGCTTTCTCCTAGAGCCAGTGCCCTGACCTAGGACTTCTAGCCTACTAAACTGTGAGAAAATAAATTTCTGTTCTTTAAAGCCACCTTCTTGTGGTATTTTTGTTATAGCAGCACTAGATAACTAAGACAGATGTTTTCCATTAATTCCTCCGCTTCCTGTACACACATGTTGCTCCTACATCAAGAATTGGAGTTCATTTCCCTTTCCTTTAAATCTAGGCTGGCCCGATGACTGTGCCCAATAGAACATGGTAGAATTAATGTTCTGGGACTTCAGAGTTCAGGCCTTCAGAAGACTGGTAGTTTCTGTTTTCTTCCTCTTGAAACATTTCCTCTCGGAAACTAGCTGCCATGCTATGAGGAAGCTCAAGTAGCCACATGGAAAGGCCCATGAGAAAAACTGAGGGCCCCAGCTGAGCTCCAAGCCAGAGACCAACCATGTAAGCAAGGCCATGTATGCAAAGCCATTCCAGTGCCCAAGGTGACACCATGTGAAACAGAATACCCATGTGGTCAACCCACAGAATCATGAGCAGTAACAAACTCTTGTTGTTATAAGCCACTAAGTTTCAAGGTAGTTGGTTATCCATTGGGAAGTCCTCAGTATGGTGGGGAGAGTTACCTGTACATTGGTAAGCCCCCACATCGGGCTTATATTCTTCATAGAATCCAGGTAGGCAGTGGCAAATGTATGTGCCCAGGATGTTGGTGCATTTGGAATTGGGGCCGCAAAGAGTCGAGTTCCTGGAACATTCATCGACATCTAAGCAGAAAATCAGTCGGAGTCAGAAGAATGGAGGATGCTGAGGCTGCAGCTGTGAACAGCCTCCCCACTGACTAAAGCCAATGGGCTTCCCTGGCTCCAGTCTCACCTTCTTAAACACGTTTTCATTGCTACAACGAGTGCAACCATTTAGGGGCATATTCCTGACAAATGCAAAGCCTCTGATGAGGCCCCCCACTACTCAGGATAAAATCCAAACCCCCTTTAGAACGTACAAAGCCCTGAGAGTCTGGTTCCACCTAAGTTTGCCCACCTCATTTTTTAGTGCTATTCCCAGTGTGCTTTATGATCTAGCCACATTGGTGACCTGTACATCCACAGAGTCTCATCCTCTTTCACCTCTGGTCCCTCAGCCTTAAGCTGCCTTATTCTCCTCTTTCCCTAATGAGTCTCAACTCATCCCCAAGGCATCACTATATTATTAAAGATCATTATTATTAACAGTAATAATTATTATTAAAAATAATAATTTTTAAATAATATTTAAAATGGTTTCAGTTGCCATCGAGTTGATTCCGACTCATGGCCATCCTATGTGTCACAGAGTAGACCTATGCTTCATACGGTTTGCTTGGCTAATCTTTATGGAAATAAATCACCAGGGCTTTCTTCCTCAGCACCTCTGGGTGAGTGTGAACCACCAACCTTTAGGTTAGCAATCTAGCACAAACTCTGCCACCCAGGGACCTATATTTAAAATAATATTATTACAATAATAACAAAACCACTGTATTATTATAGTCCCAGGATGGTACAAATGGTGAATGCACTCAGTGGCTAACTGAAAAGTTGGAGGTTCAAGTCCACCCAGAGGCACCTTGGAAGAAAAGCCTGGTGATATACTTCCAAAAATTCAGCCACTGAAAGCCCTGTGGAGCATAGTTCTACTCAGACACACATGAGGTCGCCATGAGTCGGAGTCAGCTCAACAGCAAATGGTATGGAAGAGCTTAGCACCTTGGCTGGGATCCTGCCTCTGGGCCTTTGCACCAAATGTTCCCTCCTGCAGGCACACCCTTCCCCAGGTAACCATGGCTCCCTCTTTCACTTTTCTCAAATATCAACTTCTCAGTATGGCCTTTTCTTACCATTCTTTCAAAATTAGAATAGCTAGACAGACAGATAATGAATGAATGAATAAAATTAGACCCCCACCCCCAGTACCTCTTCTCTGCTTTTCCTGCCTTATTGTTTTTCATTGTATTTATCGATACCTGACATACAATATATTCACGTAATTTTTCATTATCTGTCTTCCCCACACTAGAGGCGTGTGCAAGAAGAGCCATTATTTTGACTTGCTTAAATCACTGCTGTATCCTTGTTGTTGTTCTTAGTTGTTGTTGAGTCGATTGTGACTCATGGCGACCCCCTGTGTGCAGAGTAGACCTGTGTGCAGGCTGTGACCTTTCAGGAGAAGATCGCCAGGCCTGTCTTCCAAGGCACCTCTGGGTGGGTTTGAACCACCAACCTTTAGGTTTGCAGTTGAGCACAAACCGTTTGCCCCACCTACCTAGAAGAGTGCCTGGCACATAGTAGGTGCTCAAGAAGTATGTGGTGAATGAATGAATGAATGATTGATCATTGACCTCAGCTTTGCAGATGACTGTCCTGAATTTAGCTGAGACCGACCCACCCCTCATTGCCGACTGTGCAAATAGACTTGAATTCCCTACAGATACCTCCACCTACCTTCACACTTCTCTCCAAAGCCCTGGAAAGTCAGGTTTCCACTGCTGGATTCAAATCCTGAGTTGCAGAAACAAAAGTAGCTTCCGACAGTGTTGCTGCAAGTCGCATGCTCTGGACAAGCTCTGGGATCGGCACATTCGTCCACATCTGGCAAATGGAAGAGAAAGCACAAGGTCAAGGCAACAATGAAACAGGAAAGGGATTCATTCTGCGTGTCAACTTGCGGCAGAAAGTGCTGGTGCGCCCCTATACCCATGTTCTCCCCTTCTTCCTGAGCACACAATGGAACACATTTCCAGCCTCCCTTGCAGCTAGGTGTGGCTGTAAGAATAAATTCTGCCAATGGCATGTAGCAGAATGGTTGTTAATAGTTTCCAAATAGCAACTTCATTCATAATTGCCAAAAATTGGGAGCAACCAAGATGTCCTTCAGTAGGTGAATGGATAAACAAACTGTGGTACATCCATGTAATGGAATATTATGCAGCCATAAAGAGAAATAAAGCCCTGGTGCAAAATGCCACAACATGGATGAACCTTGAAAATATCAAGCTGAGTGAGTAAGGCAGTCGCAAGAGGACAAATACTGTATGATCTCACTTATATGAAATAAGCAAATACATAGAAACCAAAGATTTCTAGTGGTTACCAGGGGTGGGAGGGAGAGGAAATGTTTTGGGTTTTTGTTTTTTGTTTTGTTTTGTTTTGTTTTGGCGGAGGGAGGCATTGAGTTTATGTTAATGTTGGTGGAATGTTTTGGAAAAGGATAACGATAACAGCGGCACAACATGAAAAATGCCATCAATGTCACTGAATTGTAAATGTGGAAGTTGTGTCAGCAAACATTTTGGTGTGCATATTTTCACGATAATAATTTTAAAAACTAACAATAAGTGTTGACAAGGGTGCAGAAATGGTAACCCACTTTGGAAAACTGGCAACATTTTGTAGAGTTAAACATACACTTACCATGTGACCAAGCACTCTAATTCCTAGGATTTTATCCAAGGGCAATGAAAACACATGTTCACACACACACAGAAAAAGAAATGAGCAATTTTTACAATAGTTAAAAAAACATGAGCTATTCAGCCACAAAAAGGCATGGAGGAACCTTAGGTGTGTATTGTCAAGTGAAAGAAGCTGGTCTGAAAGAGCTACACACTGTATGAGTCCCCATCTATAGGACTTTCTGGAAAAGTTGACATGACAGAGAGTGAAAAGACCAGTGTTTTACCAGGGGCTCAGGGGAGGGATGAATAGGGGAAGCACAGGAAATTCTTAGGGAAGTGAAATGATTCCATATGATACTGTCATGGTGGACACATGACATTACGCATTTGTCAAAACCCATAGGGCTGGACAACACCAAGAGTAAACTCTCGAGTAAACTATGGACTTTAGTTATTACTGCCGTTGTTGTTAGTTGCCTTCAAGTCGATTGCAACTCATGACAACTTCATGTGTGCAGAGCAGAACTGTGCTCTGTAGGGTTTTCAAGGCTGTGACCTTTGGGAAGCAGATCACCAGGCCTGTCTTCTGAGGCATCTCTGTGTGGGTTTGAACTATCAGCCTTTCACCTAGGAGTCAAGCGTTTAACCATTTGCACCACCCAGGGATTACTAGAACTCAGAATTCAGGGCACCGACTGCTCTAGGGGAAGGCTCGCTCTCTGCTCTGGGGAATATCCTTGTCTCAGCTTCTGAAACGTTCTTCTTGGTGTTCCTTGGCATCAATCTTTCCCCCATTCACACTTGCTTACTTCTGTGCCTAATCTGCTCCTTTTATATCTCAAAAGCAATTGGTTTAAATCACACCCTATACTGATATGGTCTTATTAGCATAACAAAGAAAACCCTATTCCCAAATGGGATGACATCCACATGTATACGGGTTAGGATTCCAACACAGATTCTGGGGGGACACAATTCCATCCATAACAGGCTCGTTGTCACTTCCATATGAACAAGCCCCAGGATAGCCTAATGAAGAACAAAAGACAAGTGGAAGAGAGACGAATCACCCCAGATGACCCCCAGACATGGGAGACTAGCCAGCCAAGATCAGCAAAGCCAACCTGCAATTGACTGACCATGCACATGAGAAAGCCCAGGTGAGACCAGAAGAACTGCCCAGCAGAGCCCAACCTAACATGCCAACTCATGGAACTTGGAGCTAAATAAATATTTGTTGCTTTAGCCACTAACTTTTAGAATGATTTCTTACTCAGCAATAGCTAACTGATACAGGTGGGGTAGAAAATCAAAGACGAGTTATTATCGATTGAATTGTGCCCCTCCCCCCAACACACGTGTTGTAAACCCTAACCCTTATACCCATGGGTGTAATCCCATTTGGGAACAGGGTTTTCTTTGCTATGTTAGTGAGGCCATATAAATGTAGGGTGTGTTTTAAGCCCATCACTTTTGAGATATAAAAGGAGCAGGTTAGGCACAGAAGCAAGGAAACACAAATGGGGAAAGACTGATGCCATGTGGAGCTCTCCAAGGAATTAAGGATGAGAAGCTGAAAGAGACAAGGACATTCCCCCAGAGCCAACAGAAAGAGCCTTCCCCTAGAGCCAGTGCCCTGAATTTGGACTTCTAGCCTGAGCTATGAGAAAATAAATTTCTGTTCACTAAAGCCACCCACTTGTGGTACTTCTGTTATAGCAGCACTAAGAAACTAAGACACAAGTTTAAACATCTCTTACACGAAGCTAGGAGGTATGTGATGAGGGCTTGGTCACTCCACGCTGTGCTTGATGGAGTCACCTTCCCTATAAATGAACACGGAGAATAGTTGTGCTGCCCAGACTCAGGGAAGATGGAGCCCTGGTCTTTCAGTGAGAACATTCTGGCTTCAGCATGTCTAGATGTTGTTGTTATTGCTGTTAGTTGCCATCAAGTCAGCCTCTAACTCATGGAGGCCCCATGTACAATGGGATCTGGCCATTGCGGTCCATAGGGTTTTCATTGGTTGATTTTTGGAAGTAAATGGCCAGGCCTTTCTTCCTAGTCTGTCTTAGCCTGGAAGCTCTGCTGAAACCTGTTGATCATCCTAGCAACACAAAAGCCTCCACTGATAGACGGGTGGTGGCTGCACTTGAGGTGGATTGGCCGGGAATTGAACTGGGGTCTCCTGCATCAAAGGAAAGAAATCTACCACTGAACCACCACTGCCCCCTCTGGCTGCAGTGTGGATGATGGATCCAAGGGGACAAGACTGGAGATAGGGGAGCTAGTGAGGAGGTTGCTGCAGTACTAAAGGCTAAACCAAGGATGGGAAAGAGTCGAGGGATTCAAGAGCTTCCCCAAGACTTGCAGACTGATTTGATGTGGAGGAAGAGGGAGGATCAAGGCTCTCTCTCAGGTCTTAATTCAAATACTTTCAGGGCAAGTTCTGAAGTTTGGATCTGAGCTCTAGGGCCAGGTTCTCAACCTCAGCACTATTGACATTTTGGATCAGATCACTCTTGGTTGTGGGGGCCGTCCTGTGCATTGCAGGGTGTTGAGCTGCATCCCTGGCCTCCACCCACTAGATGCCAGTAGCATCCTCTCTCCAGTTGTGACAGTCAGAATTGTCTCTTGTTAGTGGTGATGGCTGCATGGCATGATGAACATAATCAATGTCACTGAACTGAACATGTAAAAAATGTTGAAATGGCAAATGCTCTGTTATATATTTTGTTGATGTTGTTAGCTGCTGTTGAGTTGGCCCTGACTCATGGCGACCCCATGCACAACGTAACAAAACGCTGTCCAGTCCTGCACCATCCCCATGATTGGTTTTGGATTGGACCATTGGGATCCATAGGGTTTTCACTGGCTGATTTTTCAGAAGTCGATTGCCAGGCCTTTCTTCCTAGTCCATCTTAGTCTAGAAGTTTTGCTGAAACCTGTTCACCATCACAGCAACATGCAAGCCTCCACTGACAGATGAGTGGTGGCTGCACATGAGGTGCATTGGCTGGAATCGAACCTGGGTCTCCCATGTGGAAGGCGAGAATTCTATCACTGAACCATCAATACCAACATGTATATTTTCATTTTTGTATTTCTTTTTCCACAATAAAAAAAAAATTTAATGTTGAAATGTCAAATGTTTTGTTATGTATATTTATATCACAATTTTTTAAAAAATGCCTGGGGACAGTTCTACTCTGTAACACACGGGGTCACCGTGAGTTGGAGTTGCCCTGACAGCAGCCAACAACAACATGACCGTGGTAAGACTTTGGCTTTTTGTCAGAGAGAGATGGGAGCCGCGGGAGGGTTTTCAGCAGAGGAGGGACACAGCAGGACTTAGGCTGTAACAGGATCCCCTGGCTGGAGGATAAGCTAGAGAGGGGTTGAGGCAGGATGGCCAGGGAGCGGTGACCACAGGTATCCAGGGAGCGATGATGCTGGATGCCACCTGGGTCCCTGGGCATCGCAGTTTGCACTCAACTGCTAATCTAAAGGTTGACAGTTCGAACGCACCCAGCAGTACTACAGAAGAAAGGCCTGGTGATCTGCTTCTGTAAAGATTACAGCCTTGAAAATCCCATGGAGCAGTTCTACTCTGCAACACATGGGGTCTCCATGAGTCAGAACCAACTCAATGGCAACTTTGTTTATTTGTTCCTTTTTGCTTTGGGAGCTGTGGGGAGGATGAGAAATGGTTGGTCTCTGGATTATTTTGAAGGCAGTGCTCATAGGATTTGCCAACAGACTGGGTGTGGGGTGTGAAGGAAAGAGGGGAGCCAACAATAACGCAGACGTATTTTGGCGGAAGCAATGGGTAGGATGGAAAAGCATGGGTAAGCTCTTTATAAAGTGCCCTAAAAATGTGAACAATGATTATCATTGTGATTTTTTTACATCAATTTTCACTTTTGTATTTTTCCGTTGGCCTTGAGAGCCAGGCTCTTCCCCTGACCAGGCGACCTGTTGATTTCCCTTCCCTGCCCCTGACCCCAGAGCTGATCTCGCTTCTCATTTCCAGGTTCCTCTTTCATCTGCAGAGGCATCATCTGTCTTTGCAGACTTCCAGCATTTTACCACTTGTGGTCTCTCGACTCTGTGGGTTTCCCATCACCCTCTTCCTCTAACTCAACCCCCACAATTCAAACCCACCTCAAACCAGAAAAACAACCCACCTTGTGTGACCTGGCCCCTGCCAACTTCTGCAGCCCAACTCCTACCTGTCCCATCAGCCACACTCACCTTTGCTCAGTTCCTCATGATCCTTACAACCCCAGGGCCTTTGCACCTGCCCCTCCTGCTATTGGATAAGCTCTCTCCCACCCCACTCCATTGCCTGGGTGACCTGGATTCATCCTTCTGTGTCAACTGAAATGTCACTTCCCAAGGAAAAGTTCCAAACAATCTTAACAGAAGTATTTCTTTTTGAATCCTACAAGACATAACTCATGTCTTAAAAAAAAAAAAAACATAAATAACTTTTAGAACAAAAAAAAATAAGTTGGGATAAGTTTAAAGCTCAACACAAAATAAGCTGGGATAAGTTTAAAGTTTAACATAAAAATAAGTTGGGGTAGGTTTATAGTTTAACATTAAAATAAGTTGGGATAAGCTTAAAGTTCAACATAAAAATAAGTTGGGATAAGGTTAGGTTTAACATAAAAATAAGTTGAGATAAGTTTAAAGTTTAACATAAAGAAAACAATAACTATCAAATGCAAGTATGAAAGATAAAAAGAGGAAAACATACAGGTCTAGGGTATCGGAAAATGAAAGTTACCCAACTTTTTCCTGTATTTTTGTTTACCATGCTTTGTATGTATTCTCTGTTATTATCCAGATGAAATAAAACATTTGGATTTTATTATCAATGGAAAAGAGAAAGAAAATTTCCCAGAATCTTGCCGGGTTTAGACTCACTCACTGTTATTATCTGATCCCATCCCGGGTTGTTGTTCGCGGCCTTCTAGTCGGCCCCGCCTCAAGGCGACACAGAATGGGATCAGACCGTTGTGCTCCATGGGGTTTGCATTGGCTGATTTTCAGAAGTCAATTTGCCAGCCCTTTCTTCCTAGTCCGTCTTAGCCTGGAAGCTCCGCTGAGACCTGTTCAGCATCATAGCAACACGCAAGCCTCCACGGACAGACGGGTGGTGGCCATGCATGAGGTGCATTGGGTGGGAATGGAACCCAGGTCTCCTGCGTGGAAGGGGAGACTTTGACCCTTGAACCACCAATGCCCACACCTACTCCCATAGCATACCTTAATTTTCCTTAAGAACCCTGAAGAAATTGAAATTCTACAGCTGGGTGATTTTTTTTCTTATTTTCTCTCTCTCCCATTAGAATGCAGGCTCCCTGGGGACAGGACCAAGGTCAGTCTTAGGTGAAAGCCCACCCCAGTGCCTAATACTATGCCTGGGGCACATGAGACACCCAACAGATTTTTTTTTTTTTATGGAAGACCTGTTTTATTTGTCAATTAAGCATGAAATTCATTACTACAGAATTAGAGGTTACAGTAGAATTATAGAATGGGATCGATATGGCTAGGATAGTTAACATTTTGTCAATTCATATCCCTGGAAAGTTATCACTGGATAGTGCCAGAGCCTTATCAGATGTTTCTTTTTTTTTTTTTTTTAATTGTACTTTAGATGAAGGTTTACAGAAAAACTAGCTTCTCATTAAATAGTCAGTACACATATTGTTTTATGACATTGGTTAACAACCCCATGACATGTCAACACGCTCCTTTCTCGACCTTGGGTTCCCTATTACCAACTTTCCTGTCCCCTCCTGCCTTCTAGTCCTTGTCCCTGGGCTGGTATGCCCATGCCGCGTTAGTCTCATTTTGTCCTATGGGTCTGTCTAATCTTTGGCCAACAGATATTTTTGAATGAACCAAACAATCACTCCCTCAACCCAAGCACAAGTGTCCACATGCACACACACATACACGCATACATACATATACACACACTCACATAATCACACACATACACACACACATACATGTACATATACACACACATACACGCATACATACACACATACACACACTCACATAATCACACACATATACACACACACATACATGTACACATACACACATATACACGCACGAGTTGCTGTTATTGTGTGCCATGGAGTCAATTCCCACTCATAGTTACCCCATGTGATAGAGTAGAACTTCCCTATAGGGTTTCCTAGGCTGTAATCTTTACAGGAACAGATCACCCCGTCTTTCTCCCATGGAATCTCTGGGTGAGTTCAAACCATCAACCTTTTGGTTAGCAGCTGAGTGCTTAACCATTGCGCCCCCAGGGCTCCTTACACACACACACACACACACACACACACACACACACACACACATTATCTTGCATGCTATTTGGAGCAGGCTGCAGCACTGAGACTGGGTGTAAAGGGAACCCAAGCCCTCAGCACCCAGGACGCCCCAGCATCCGTCCTCCTGCCTTGAGACAAACATTCCCATCTGCCATTTATTCCACATCTTGCAGCTGACCGTTCACCCTTTGCCCATCATTTGAAAGGACGCACAGCATGTTGTTGTGAGCTGTTATCGAGTCGACTCTGACTCATGGTAACCCCATGTGTGCACAGAACTGCGCTCCACAGGGTTTCAAGGCTGTGACCTTTCAGAAGCAGATGGCCGGGCCTTTTTCCCGCAGAGCAGACTGCCGACCTCTCAGTTAGCAGTCAAGCACTTAATCATATGCAGAGGTAACCACTACCAAAAGCTTAGAGTGATTTCTTCAAGTCGGCCTTCTAGTCATAAACTCAAACACGTAAATATATTATTAAATATAAATACATTTACCAAAAAACCAAGCCCACTGCAGTCTTTCCGACTCACAGCGACCCCATAGGGTTTCCGAGGCTGTAAATATCTACGGAAGCAAACCGCCACATCTTTCTCCCACAGACCTGCTAGTGGTTTCGAACCGCCGACCACTCGGTTAGGAGTCGATCGTTTTAACCACTGTGGCACCACACAATTTTCTTAACATAAATGGGATCGTGCAATATACGCTTCTTCTACTGCACTGTCCAATATGGTAGCTACTAGGTGGCGCAAACAGTTAAGCACTCGACTAAACTGAAAGCATAGCAGAGTGGCTTGAGAACGGTGAGCTTGGAAAGGGTGTTGTTATGGAATGAATGGTGTCCCTCAAAATATGTATTGTAAATCCTAACCTCTACACCTATGGGTGGAAACCCTGGTGGCGTAGTGGTTAAGAGCTCAGGCTGATAACCAAAAGGTCAGCAGTTCGAATCCACCAGCTACTCCTTGGAAACCCAATGAGGCAGTTCTACTCTGTCCTGTAGGGTCACCAGGAGTCAGAATCGACTTAACAGCAACTGCAACTGGATGCCTGTGGGTGTAATCCCATTTGGGAATAGAGTTTTTCATTGTTATGCTAATGAGGCCATATCAGTGCAAGCTGTGTCTGAAACCAACCGCTTTTGAGATATAAAAGGAGGAGATATAAAAGGAGCCGATTAGACACAGAAGCAAGCAAGTGAAAAGGGGGAAAGGTGGATGCCACTTGGAGGTCTCCAAAAAACGCTGAGAAAACTGTTACAGAAGCTGAGATAAGGATTTTCCCTCAGAGCAGAGAGAGCCTTCCCCTAGAGCTGGCTCCCTGAATTTGGACTTCTAGCCTCCTAAACTGTGAGAAAATAAATTTCTGTTTGTTAAAGCCACCCACTTGTGGTATTTCTGTTATAGCAGCACTGAGAAACTGAGACCTGGCCCAAGAAGGCTCCTCGGCTTGCCCATAACCTGAACGTGGTGGTTGGTTAAGCAGGAGTTCCCACCTGGACCCCTGGAAGACACGGAGGTTCCAGAGAATTGCTGGGCAAAGCCAGGTGAGACTGGGCACCACCAGGGCGCCCTGAGAGGGCCAACGCCGAGGCTGAGAGATAAGCTGGACAAGACACCCTTTCCAGGGCCCAGCTGTTCCCCACCTCATGGCTACAAGAACCCATATGCTTCCCCTACACCAAACACCCAGTCACCATGGTGGGAGGAGCAGGGAAGAGTGAGAAAATGTGAATGATTAACGCTTCATACAATATACACTGAATACCCCAAGAAAGACTGCTTTAAACCAGGAGACTGGGACACCACTACCCCTTGAACCAGCTGCCGTCAAGGAAATTCCGACTCCTAGTGACCCTATAGAACAGAGTAGAACTTCCCCATAGGGTTTCCAAGACTGTCATCTTTACAGAAGCAGAGTGCCACATCTTCCTCCAACCGCTGACCTTTGAGTTAGCAGCCAAGTTCTCGATCACTGGGCCACCGGGGCTCCTTCAGGATTGGGGCACCACTCGTAACTGACAGTGCTTTTCTTTCTCTATCCAGTGGGGCCTTATGTGGGAGATGAGGATATTTACGGAAGATAAAGAAATCACCTGTGTTTTCCACATCTGCCTTGTAGTTTGGGTCAATTCTATCCCCACTTCCAATACTCTGCCACTTATGCAGCTCTTACCGCACATCCGATGCTTTGCAAAGTTTTTTTACTTTATTATAAGCTTCACAACACTTACCATATATCAAGTGCTTCACTAAGTTACTTTTTAAAATTTAGGCCTCACAACATCTGTGACATAGGAACCACCATTATCTGTATTTCACAGCTGAGCAAAATGAAGTTCAGAGAGGTTACGTGACTTGTCTGAGGTCACACAGTAAGTCCAAGGCACAAGTGAAGGAGCTTGGAATGGGAACCAGGAGAATTGGTTTTAAATCCTTGCTCTGGCAGTAACTAGCTCCCAGAAAGTGTCCAGCTGTGGCCCAGCCTCCTAGACAGGAGAGTTCTCTGGGACAGAAACATTATTCCACCTCATTGGTTATATGGGTTCTCTTGCAGCAAACTTACCATGTATTGTTGATGCCAGTGTGGACTCTGTGGTCACTTCCCAGCTGTACGGACCAGAACACCCTATGAAGAGAGAAAAGAGAAACCCCATGAACCACCAAAAAGCCCTCTGGGCTCAACCTGCAAAACCACTCTGAGCTTGACCTCATAGCAACAGGTTTGATGGCTGTAGGTGAAAAGCCCAATTGGGGAACCAAAACTAAAACCAAACCAGTTACCATGGATCAACTCTGACTCATGGAGACCCATGTGAAGTAGTTCTCCAAGCTTTTCTTCCAAGGCACTTCTGGGTGGACTCGAACTGCCAACCTTTCGGCTATCAGAGAGCACATTAACCATTTGCATCACCCAAGGACTCTAACTGAGGGATAGACATACATTATTTTACATAATCTTCACAGCAACCATTCCTGCTTTCCTGGACTTTTTGTTTTTTCATTTTGTTTATCTTCATATTCTTATTACAGCAGTAGTTCTAACTGGCTTTCAAAAATACACATTAAAGCATGCATTTTCAACAGGAGTGATAGTTCCCCCAAAGGGACGAAAATTGGGGGATAAAAATATCTTACTCTTTTATGTATAAAACACTAATAGATAACGCATATAATACGTAAATATATACATGCTATAACTGTGGTATTAAAATCTTACAGAGGGATAGGGTTGTTAGTTAAAAAAAGTCTATAAAGCAGTGCAGACCCCCCCCCCAGAGTTCAGCCCCTCTCCATCATCACCATCACCAACATTGTGACCCTAATACTCCCCAGAATGTTTTCTCCTTTCCAAAATGGGTGACTGAGAGCCTGACATGACTAATGCCATGATGAGCCTCTAAGTTTTCCTTTTTTCTTCTTTGCCTTCTCCTTTCTGCATACCTTTGTTAATGACTTTATTTTGTTCTGTCCGGCCACCTGCAGCTTATGACCCCCCACAGGAAGATCAGAGCCCAGATGTCTGACATGTATATCTTCAGCCTGATAAGGGGATGTCCAGCACGTATCTCTTTAGTATGATAAAGAATCTCTTGTAATTAGCTTGTAATGAATAACTATACTTCTAACCTTTGTAAAATTCATAAGTAAGCTCTAATGTAAAAAAGCCCTTTGGGACTCCATAAAGACAGCCTGTGTTGCTGTCGGATCCCCGTTGGTGGTCACCTCCTAAATAACCTATCTCACTCTTTCTGACTCGGAGTATGTTTCATTGGCTCGACTGCTCCAGGGCACAGACCCTAATCAGGCAACAGCATCATGACCATCACCGTTATCATCAACATCACCATCTTCATCATTACCACCATCATCACAATATAGTTTCCGTCACCATCATCATCATTTATCATTGTCACCACTATCACCATCATAATCATCACAATTCTTTGCCAATTAACTTCAGGGGCAGAATAAGGGCTGCTAATGGTTAATACCCATGCTGACACCCCAGAGAAACAACCCCACATTCCAGCATTTGGGGTCTGCAAGCTTAAAGGCCATCTCCTCACCTGATCCTTCTAATGAAGCCTGCCAGTCACAGATCCCATGGCCCTCACTTTTCCCTGCACCCCACTTCCAGCCCAGGATGCTGCAGAGGAGAAGCAGACTGAAGCCCCACATTGTGCTATGGTTGTGAGGTTCGAAGGGAAAATTTTCTTCTTCCCCATGGTTTTTAATAACAGCAGGTGTGGGGAAGGGAGGGCAGATCCAGGGTTGCTCAATGCTGCCGGGGCATCACAGCCTTTTCTGCTGAGTTGCTGGCTGTAAATAAGTAGGAAAACCCCTACTTGTTTCCTTTATCCATGGTGAAGAGAAGTTGCTCCGGTTGAATTGTCACTGTCTGTGTCTCTCTCTTGCTCTTCTTTCTTTCCAACCTACATCTGGCTCCCATCCCTTGTCACCATCTTTCATTGCACCCAATGCTTACACTTGTACCCCTTTTCCTCCCTCTCTCTTTTCTTTTCCCTCTCTCTCTCTCTCTCTCTCCTCTTCCTTTCCTCTCTCTTCTCTTCCTTCTCTCTAATTTGTTTAAAAAAGGTAACCATCTGTCTTCTCTTTCCTCCCTCTCTCTTCTCTTCTCGTCTCCTTTCCCCTTTCCTTCCCTTCCATTCTCTTCCCCTTACTTCCCCTCCTTTCCTCTTTCTCTCTCTGTTTCCCTCTAATACTTCCAAACTCAAGGGCCTCTTCCCAGTCTGCCCAAAAAAAGTTGCCATTACATAATTCTTGTGAAATTCAGACATTCTGGAAACACCTATGCCAGACAAAGCCCTGAAACTATTGCCCTGAGATAATCTTTAAACCTTAAACCAAAACTATCCCCTGAAGTCTTCTTGAAATGAAACAATAGTTTAGCTTTGTTAGTAAAGAATGTTTACCTTGATCATTGTGCTCTTTTAAAGAAATGTCTATATGAGATCAAATGGACAACAGCAACTTGAAAGTTTAAATAAGAAGCCTAGGGGCAGTGAATTTGTGTTTAAGGGGGAGGGATACTTTGGAAAAGGATAGCAAGAATGATTGTACATCTTGAAGAATGGAACGCCACTGAATTTTACAAGTAGAAATTGCTGAATTGGTGTATGTTTTTCTGTGTATATTTTTACACACAAAAAAAAATTTTAATTAAAAAAAAAGTAACCATCATGTATCAGGCACTGTTCCAGGCGCATTGCCAACAAATTTTAATTTAATTATCACCTCAACCTGGTGAGGTAGGAATTTTCCCCCACCTGTTTACCAAAAGAGGAAATTGAGGTTTGTCCAAGATCACTTAGACCTGTAATTTGAACCCATGACCCGCTGGCTCCAGGGTCTAGAGCTTTAACCATTTCATCTTCCTTAAATTCTTCACTTTATCTGACCACTCTACAGTTAACACTACCACCCCATTCCCAAACCTCCAACCTAACACAAACACACACACACACATATGCAGTCACATAAACATGGAGGTCTAGCAAAGATGTCACGTTGATGACTAAGGTGCACCTGACCCAAGCCATAGCATTTTCAACCACCTCATATCCATGCAAAAGCTGGACAATGAAAAAGGAAGACAGAAGAACTGATGCATTCAAACTGTGGTGTAGGCAAAGAATATTGAATATACCATGGACTGTCAGATCAAACAAATCAGTCTTAGAAGAAATACCACTAGAGTGCTCCTTAGAAATGAGGATGGTCAGACTTCGGCTCACTTACTGTGAACACATGATCAGGAAAGATCAATTGCTAGAAAAGGACATCATGGTTGGTAAAGTAGAGGGTCACAGAAAATGAGGGAAATCCTCACCTCTATGTGATGGATTGACACAATAGCCACAACAATGGACTCAGAAACATCAAGGATGTTTCGATGAACCCCATATAGGATACACCCCAAAATAAAGTCACCAAGCCATATAATAATCACACTTGCCAAACCAAAGACAAAGAAAGAATCCTGAGAGCAGCTGAAGAAAAATGAAAAGTCACATACAAAGGGGAAACAATAAGACTAAGCTCTGATTATTTGGTAGAAATCATACAGGCAAGACGGCAATGGGATGACATATATAAAACCTTGAAAGAAAAAATTGCCAACCAAGAGTAATATATCCTGCAAAACTCTCTCTCAAATATGATGGTGAAATTAGGACATTTCCAGATAAACAGAAATTAAGGGAATTTGTAAAAAACAAATAAAACTTACAAGAATTATTCAAGGGAGTCTTTCAGTTAGAGAGCCAACAACATCAGATAATAACCTGAATCTAAGACACAGGTCAGTATCAGCCAAATACCGACCTAGGTAATGAACTCTCAAGGCTAAAATAAAACTAGAAGATTCAAAACAGGGAACTAGAGATGTCAATGAGGACATCAGAAAAATGAAAGGAAGAATACACGGTGTAGGTATAGAACTTTCAAATAGAAAGGAAATCAAGGTGATATCAAGTAACGAATGACTGGTTCAAACACAGGAAGATAAGGGTAAATTTCAAGGTAGCCACAAAGTTAACAAACCTATTCACGAAAATAAAGAAGACAAACATAAAGTCTCAGTAAGAACAAAACCTACAATAACAAAAGAAATGAAATTTCCCAAACAAAAGGAACTGAGCACAGGAGAGTAAGAGGAACAAAGAAAACATCAGCACCACAAAAGAAAGCACTACAAAATGACTGCAAATAAACTCACACCTATCAATAATCACACTGAATGTAAATGGCTTAAATGCACCCGTAAAGACACAGAGTGACAGAATAAATGACCTATCAATATGCTGTCTACAAGAGACACATCTTAGACACAAAGACATAAATATAATAAAAATCAAAGGATGGGAAAAAAATTATTAAGCCAACAGCAACCAAAAAGAGCAGGAGTGGCAATACTAATCTCAGATAAAATAAACTTTAAGGCAAAATCCACCATAAAAGAAAAAGAAGGACATTATATAATGATTAAAAGGTCAATCCACCATGATGACATAACCACAATAGATACCTGTGCACCCAACGACAGGGCTCCAAAACACACAAAACAAACTCTAACAGCACTGAAAAGAGAAATTGACAGTTCCACAGTAATAGTAGGACAGTAAAGGACAGAACATCTAGAAAGAAACTCCACAAAGATACAGAAGATCTAAAGGCCACAATCAACCATCTTGACCCTCACAGACATATATAGAACACTCTACCCAACAGAGGGAAAGTACACATTCTTTTCCAACACACATGGAACATTCCTCAGAACAGACCACATCTTAGGCCACAAAGCAACCGTCAACAAAATCCAAAACACTGAGATAATACAAAGTGTCTTCTCTGATTATAACACCATAAAAGTAGAAATTAATAACAGGAAGAGCAAAGAAAAAAAATCAAATACATAGAAATGGAATAACACTTTGCTTAAAAACCAAATAATAGGTGAAATAAAAGATGGAATCAAAAAATTTCTAGAATCAGATAAGAATGAAAACATATTGTGCCAAAACCTTTGGGACACAGCAAAGGAAGTGCTCAGAGGTCACTTTATAGCAATAGGTGCACACATCAAAAAAAGAAAGGGACAAAATC